TGAGATAAATCTTTCAGTCTTGTCTGAACCCTTCGTCACTGCCTGAAGAGGGAGCAGGAGGAGCCGGCAGAGCTGGAGTCCAGGGCCCTTTCAGGAGCTTTCAGATATGTGCTGGATAGCTTCACTGCTTAGGGACCACCTGACATGTCATCATAGCATGCATCTTCCCAGAAGGAAAGCTCCTGCTCCCCTTCTGCTTTCTAGTTTATAGGTCTCTTGGCACCAAGCTTAGTTGGGGAGATGGAACAGGACATGAGAGAGAAACATCTGTGGCAATGGTGGGTGTGGTTTAGCGGTAAAATCGACATCACAGTGTGGGGAGCTTCATTCTCATACCCAATTTCCACAACTCCGGAGTATAAACGATACAATGCCTAGATTGTGGTAGCAAAGTTCTGGCATATAATAAGTATTCTAGAAAGGACAGAGATTTTTTTTTATGGTTTTTTTTTTTAATTTAATTTTATTTTTTTCTTATCAGTTACATTTTATTAACTCTGTATCCCAGCCATGTCCCTCTCCCTCATTCCCTCCCAATCCCACCCTCCCTCTCTCATCTCCACCATGCCCCTTTCCAAGTCCACTGATGGGGGGACCTCCTCCCCATTCATCTGATCCTGTTTTATCAGGTATCCTCAGGACTGGCTGCAAAGCTCTCCTCTGTGGCCTAACAGGACTGCTCCTCCCTTGGGGGGTGGGGAGGCCAAAGAGCCAGTCATTGAGTTCCTGTTAGAAATAGTCCTTGTTCCCCTCACTATGGGAAACTAATTGGTTACTGAGCTACCACAGGCTACATCTGAGCAGAGATTCTAGGTTATATCCATACATGGTCCTTGGATGAATGACAGTCTCTGAGAAGACCCTGTGCCCAGATATATTTGGTCCTTGTGGAGCTCCTATCCTTTCCCCATCATACTAACTCCCCTTCTTTCATATGATTCCCTGTACTCTGCCAAAGGTTTGGTCATGAGTCTTTGTACCTGCTTTGAAAACACTGCTAGTTAGAGTGTTTCAGATGTGCTCAGTAGACTCCTGTCATATGTTCAATGCACATCCCATCTGTCTTTCTAAATGAGGATTGATAATCCATGTTTGTCTTTCTCCTTCTGGGATATTTCACTCAGAATGATCTTTTCTAGATCCCACCATTTGCCTCCAAATTTCATGATTTCCTCATTTTTGATTGCTGAGTAGTATTCCATTGTGTAAAAATACCACAATTTCTGTACCCATTCCTTCATTGATGGACATCTGGGTTGTTTCCAGGTTCTGGCTATTACAAATAAAGCTGCTATAAACATGGTTGAGCAAGTATCCCTTTGTGTACTTGAGCAAAGTTTGGGTATATACCTAGCAGTGGTATAGCTGGGTCTTGAGGAAGCACTATTCCTAATAAGGACAGAGATTTAATTATAATTTCTTCCTTCCATCCCTCTCCCCCGGAAGGGAAGTGTTCTAACTACTAGCTTAATTGTTCCTCATTGACACCAGAAATGTAATATTTTCCAGGTATGACTGTGCAAACAGGAGAGAAAGACAGAGGTATTTACCAATATTTGAAGAGTTCGAACAGTAAGGAGATGCGCATGAAAGCCCAGCCCACGCCAGGAAGGATGGCCAGCCTGCAAAGACTAGGATGTCTATGGCTGTGTGTGGTGATGGCGGCCACGCTGCTCTGCCATCCCACAGGTGCCCTGTGGTTGCTCTTTTCATTTCTCATTTTGAGCACACACCACTAGAGAGATTTCAGGGAACCAAGTTACTCTCAAAGGGAAAAAGGTTGGGTCAGGATGCTAAGAAGTAGTCACCACAGGAAGTAATGCCGCGGCTTAAACATTTCTGTCTCTTTTGTTGTTCACTCCTTTTTTTCTCTCCCACCCAAGCTGAAACAAAGATTTTAATAATAGGCAAAGTTCGAGCGTTGTGAAGAAAGAAACCACAAAGTTGATGAAGCTTAATTTCATTTTTCTTGAAATAAAGCATGGACCTGTAGGAATCACCTGTTGGTTGAGTCAAGACTGAAAATAAAGATATCATTTTGAACATCTGAGAAAATGCATTTAAGTAAAATGAAAGACTGAGAAAATGAGGCAATCCACAATTGGCTCCCTCACAACATCATACAATGTTCTTGTAGTTTAAAAGCCCCCATATTATTGCAGAATCCTTTTATGTTAATAATAAACCTTTTTTTTTTTTGATTTCCAAAGTCCTGGTATGCAATGGGAGTATAAGATGTCATTTCCACACTGTAAAAGACACACAAGAAAGTGATGAATCTTGGTAAAGGCTCATATTTAGAGATCTAGAAAGCTCTATTTCATTTGTCCCTCAGTTATTTACTGGAATTACCAAAGAGTGTGTAAGCGCCAGAACAGGAGAGGTGAAGCAGGAAGAGCTAGGTACTCTGGTTTTCAGTGGATACCCTAGTGTAATTACCAAAATACAGTGCAGACTGCTCAGCCATCATTTCCAGCAAGTTATAGCAAACAGAGCTGAGAGTCTTGCTATGTCCCCCTGTTGCTGTGCACACTAAAGGGAACAGATGTGGCTTCATCAGCCCTCCGATTACCTGAATTCTTTCAAACACCTGTGTTAAAGAACACACGTCAGCCTTTATGGCCATGAAGTCACCTTACAGTTTTCTGTATGGATAAAGGGCCAGACAACCCTGGGTGGGAACTGACCTCGAGATTTCGTCAGTTTTTCCTGTGGCCACCTGGGTTTAAACTAATTCATCTCTATCAAGTTTAATATGCTGAGGGGAGGAGGGAGTCAGTTAATGGAAGTAAAATTTTTGTCTTCTGAAGAGAACTTGTTAAGAACACAAGGTGGTCCTGAAACACACATGCACACAGTCACAAGGTTTGGCACAAAATAAAAAATAATGAGGCTGGAAATGTTTTTCTTCAGATGCTGGTGCTTATTAAACATTTCAAATAAATCTGGTGAAATGAGCTCAGGTGTGACTTTGTGACTATGTGGTGAGGACTGTTTTTAAGTTTAAGACATGAAATACTGCGAGACATTTTTCATAATGCACGTAGTCTCAGGGAAGTGAGAGCAGCAAAGAATTATCCGACTGAGATGGATTCTGCTTTCGAGAAACCATCTGCATTTACCTTTGTTTTACTAACGGTGAAATCCACTCCTTTGGATTTATGTTCAGTGTTTAGCAAAGCAGTACAGCCACTGCCAGAGGCAAGATGCAGATGTTTGCAGCAACTCAGCACCCCCTCTCACTGTTCTATATAGTTTGCTCCATCCCAAACTGGAACTGCGGGTTAACCCCACAATTCTATCTTTTTAATCAAAGCATGAAACATCCTTGAGTAAATTACTAAGTTTGAGATCACAGGGTCATATGTTAAGTAGATTTTTGACTTGATATAGAAAACAAACCTGCCAAATCATATTCTAACATGGTCCCAATATTTGCGTTCCCTTCAAGAATTTATTAAAACTTCAGATTGTCTTCATATTCACTGGGACCAGGTGGCAGTAGATTTTGTTTAATTTAAAATGTTTTTTTTTCCTGAGAAATATTATCAGTAAGTAAGTAGGAATTACCTCTGTAAGACCTGAAGTCTCACTGCTCAGGAGCTCAGGATCGCGCCCTTCCCAGGAACTCTCATAGACCACAGCTCCATGCAAAAGCAAGAGGTTTTATTGCTATCACAATAGGGTCGCCCCTCCAAAGATAGGAGATGACCCCGAACATACAAAGCACAGGGTTTTTATACCTGAAAATCAGGTCACTTTTGCTCTATAGCTTACAGCTGGTTGTAGATAGTTTACAGCTGGTTGTTTCTCAGAACAGTTCACCCCACCCTTCAAGAGCTCTCTGCACCTGGCTTCAATTCAAATAATCACAATTGTTTCTCATTCCCAGGTGGTCCCTCATTCCCCCCTTTTCTTTTTGCCTCAATTTTAACCCTAAAATTGTGGATCAGCCTCAGGGAGAGGTTGATACTGTCTCTGGAGCATCAGGACCTAAACTGCATTTACACATTCCCTGACGAAGGCGAGTACTGATCGGATAGTTTATTGTCCCTGATGAGTTTCAGTTTTAGCAGGTTGGAGGCTTGGTCTTTCCAGGTGTCTGCAGGTTGATGAGGAGCTGGCATGATGTGTGACCCATGGATCCAAGATGCGATGCCCTCTGCTTTGACGGCAGTTGGTATAGTGGTGAGCAGGACGTAATAAGGACCCTTACAACGAGGTTCCAGATTCTGAAGGCTGCGGTGTCGTCGCACGTACACCAGATCTCCAACCTGGAACTGATGGGGCACCTCCAAGGACCCAGGCGCATATGCACTGCCAACCTTGCTCCAAATTTCTTTCTGAATAAGCTGCAGTCCTTTCAGCCTGGACAAGTCAGAGTTACCACTAGTTATGTCAAGGGGGTCCCCAAGAAGAGTCAGGGGAGCAGGAACCCCATATGATAGTTTGAAGGGAGTCAGGCCCAGTAAGGAGGGAGTATTTCTGACTCTAAAAAGGGCCAAGGGAAGGAGCACCACCCAGTCCCACCAGTCTCCATGGTCAATTTGGTGAGAGTCTCTTGTAGAGTTCTATTCATTCTTTCTACCTGTCCTGAACTTTGGGGTCTATAAGCACAGTGTAATTTCCAATCGAGCCCCAGAAACCTGGCACCTCCTGACTTACCTGAGCAACAAAGGCTGGCCCATTGTCTGACCCAATTACCTTTAAAATACCGAACCGAGAAAAAATGTCTTCCAGAATCTTTTTGGCTACTACCAAAGCAGTTTCTTTGTGGGAAAAGCTTACACCCATCCTTCTGACAGGGTTCACACGCCCGAGTCACTCTCTCAATCAGGACAGTGAGGTTTAGTATTTGATACTGGGATTGGCGGGCAATTTCAGCCAATTTCTTTGCCCCCAAGTGAGTCCACTTATGCATCTGAATTATTAATTTCTCAGCGTCTTTCTGTGGCAGAATGATCTTACCTTTGGAGTCAATCCATGCCCCCACATCGGTGTCAAATATCCCGTTTTTGCCGTATTAGCTTCAAGTCACTTTCTGAGTAGTTTAGTCGTTTTTCTCTGGGCAGCTCAGCAGTCAGTACCACTGGGACAGAGTTTCCTCTGGTGGCTGCTTTAGCCTCCTGATAGGCCATGTTATTCCCCTTTGCAGCCCTGGACGGGTTGGGCAAGGTAGGATGTAAGTCCATGACCTGTTTGTTAACTTCGCTCAAGTCCTTTACGGGTCAATGGTCGTTGCTCCCAGGCTTCCGAACTGGCAGCAATGGAGTATTCCAGGCAGAATGGCACCTTCTGAACACCCCTAGGTGAAGGAGCCACTGTATGTGAGGGAGGATCCCGTCACGGGCTTCCTTAGATATCTGATATTGTCGCACCACGATCAGGGTAGCCTGAGGCTTCAGCTCTATCTGAACTGGGGGCTGTTTCTCTGCTTTTCCTAGGCCAGCTGTTTCAGCCCATGCCCTGGGATGTCTCTCTAGCCACCAGTAAATGTCTTTTTCTGGACTAACCACCTTTTCAAACAGGCAGTATTCATCTTCCAGTTGAATCATCAGCACGTGAATGGGATCCCCTTTGTCTGTCACCTGTGGGCCATCTGGTCTAAAATGAATATGGGCCCCTATCTTAGTTAGAATATCTTGCCCTAACAGCAGGTACGGGCACTTGGGGACAACTAAGAATGAGTGGGATACCCGGCCCACTCCAAGACCCACCGTTCTTCGGGTAGTCCATGAATATTGTTTACATCCAGTGGCTCCTTGGACCCACGATTTTTTCTCTTTTTTAGCTTCTAAGTCTTGTAACAGAACAGAATGCTGGGTGCCAGTGTCCACCAAGAAGTGGACTGGCTTTTTCTTCCTTTTGGACAATCCTTCATCCAGTGTCCTTTCTCCTTGTGATAGGCACACTGATCCTTAGACAGAGGGCCCCTCCAATTGCCAGGAACTCTCTCCCTATCATTACAACTCTCCTGCACTATGGTGGCCAGGATCTTAGTCAACTTTCTGTCTTGCCTCTTATCCCTTTCTCTTTCTCTCGCTTCCTGCTCTTTCTGCTTTCTTTCCTCTTTCTCTTCTTCCATCTCCTGGCTGTAGAAAACCTTTTCTGCTACCTGCACTAAATCCTTCAACAACTTGTCCTTTAAACCCTCTATTTTCTGGAGTTTTCTACGAATATCTCTGGCTGACTGGTCTATAAAGGTTATAGTCATCATTGCCCTATGCTCATCTGAGGTAGGGTCATAGGGCATAAACCGATGGAAAGCCTCCATCAGCCATTTAAGGAAGGCTGTGGGGGATTCATCCAGCCCCTGAACCGTCTCTCTTACCTTTGTCAAATTGGTGGGCTTTTGAGTGGCCCCAGGGAGACCCGCCATTAGAGTCTTGCAGTAGACCTTCAGGCGTTCCCTACCTCCAGGTGTGTTGTAATCCCAGTTGGGGCAGGTGAGGGGAAGCCATTATCAATCTCATTAGGGAGGACGGAAGGCCTTCCATCTGTTCCCGGCACATTCTTTCTCACCTCAAGGAGGACCTGTCCCCGTTCCTCAATAGTCAGGAGGGCCTGCAAGAGTTGCTGGCAATCATCCCAAGTGCGCTGGTGTGAGACTAGGACAGATTCAAACAAATCAGCTAGAGCTTGTGGATTTTCGGAAAAGGGGGTTCACTTTCGGAATCTGGTGGCGGCACTCTCGCTTTCAGAATCTGGTGGTGCCGAGGGACTGGCGGCAACCTGCTGCAGACCTGCTGGGGGATTAGTGGGGGAAAAGCTGGCGGATAAGGAGGTGGAAGGTCAAAAAGAAGTCACAGTCTGTTCCACAATAAAGTCGTCCGACAAAGAGAACACGACAGGCAATTCAGATAAGGACGCCCTTATGGGTCCACAGAATTCTGATTGAGAGGCTGCCTCACGCGGCCCATCTCCTACAGATGGGAGGAGAACCATCACGGACCTAGCCTCCTCAGATGGAACCTGGAGCATGCCCCAGTTCCCAGTCAAGCGATATTCTGAAACGTCTGTCTATCGCAACAACTGATCAGATGACCAAAAAGGTCCAGATAGGCACCTAAACAAATACAACCAGAAATCAGACTAACCTGTTCCGAGCTCGACCTCCGAGCCCAGTCTGATGAGGGTTGGGGAAGGGGCACGCTATTTCCCAGCCAATGCACCAAAAATGTAAGACCTGGAGTCTCACTGCTCAGGAGCTCAGGATAGCACCCTTCCCAGGAACTCTCACAGACCACAACTCAATGTAAAAGCAAGAGGTTTATTTGTGATAGAATCGCCCTTCCAAAAATAGGAGATGACCTAGGAGAGCACAGGGTTTTTATACCTGAAAATCAGATCACTTTTGCTCTATAGTTTACAGCTGGTTGTTTCTCAGAACAGTTCACCCCACCCTTCAAGAGCTCTCTGCACCTGGCTTCAATTCAAATAATCACAGTTGTTTCTCATTCCCAGGTAGTCCCTCACCTGAAGTAGCTGAGACTTTTACCCGAGAACCTATGCCTGTGGACCTTTTCCCCCAGCCCCCGGGAGGTTGTCAGAGCAGAGGAAAGCTAACAGTACACACTCATAGCTAAGGAGTCTACACATCAGGAATAAGACTACCTGAAATGGGGCTGGAGAGATGGCTCAGTGGTTAAGAGCACTGTCTGCTCTTCCAAAGGACCCGGGTTCAATTCCCAGCACCCACATGGCAGCTCACAACTGTCTGTACCACCAATTCCAAGGAATCTGACACCTTAACACTAACACACATAAAATAAAAATTAAATAAAAAAAAACTACCTGAAATGATCCTGTAGCTCAGTGGTGCATGCCACTACAGCCCAAGTATAGGAACAAGGTGACTCAAAATAACTCAAGACATAAAAGAAGATATAGCAATGTGAACAAAGCCAGCATCATAAAAAGGAGCAGAGTGACATTGCAGGTTATCATAGATGTGATGGTTCAATAAGTGGATGGAGATTGTGTATGGATGAAGATAGAATCAGTGATTTGAAGAGCAAAATAGAGATGATAATGTAATTCTTGTTACTAGAATTAGAAAGCTTTTAAAAAGTAATTAACAAGCTTAGCTCTTTGATATGTGTAAATATTCATGTTCTACCAGTTGACAATGCCACAGGGAGGAAAGATTTCCAAATGACCTGGTGACTTTGGCTTCATGATTTTAGATAACAGTGTATCCAGTTGATGTGTTTCTCGTTTTACTCCTCCTCTTCAATTCTTTTTTTTTTTAAGATTTACTTTTTATTTTATGTGTGTAGGTGTTTTGTCTGCATGCGTGTCTATGTACCACATGTGTCCAGGGCTCAGACAGGCCAGAAGAGGGTGTCAGATCCTCTGGAACTGGAGTTAAATGTTGTTAGCCTCCATGTGGGGGCTGGGAACTGAACCCAGGTCTGCTGGAAGCACAAATGCTCTTAACTTCTGAGCCATCTCTCCAGACACACCCTCCTCAGTTCTTGGTCTTGACCAGGCCCCATGCATAATAGCTGAAACATCTTTGTGTCCCTGTGGCTGACGGAGAGGGGGAAAGTCCTGAGCTTGATAGTCCCTGAAGTAAACTAGCCTCACTGAGCCTTGGTTTTCTCACCGTTGGAAAGTTGATATCATCCACCACAATATCACCTACTACAGAGGACCTTCCTGATGACTGGACTGGAAGCTGCGTACTGAATGTCCAATGTGTTGCCTGTCACAAAGCAAGTGTTTAGTGACCACTTTCTGTGTGTTTTTCAAAACATGCATAGTTTGTATCACCTGCTTTTGGAAATCATGTCACTTGGTAAATATACTCTGGTTCACAACCAGAAAAAAATCCCACCAGTCAAATAAATATATGTGAGATAGATTATGCTTGGATTACACAGACAATTGACAGATGCATGGTAGCACATAATTTATCGGTACAACTCTATTTCTGGAAAATATGGCTGTTTAAAGAAAGCAAGAGGAAAATTAAAGTGCTAGATCCGAAGGAGGAAAATGATGGACTGGGAAAAACAAATATGGAATAGCCAAGGTACAGAATAGTAACAGATTGCAGAGAGCTCAGCGCTGAGAGGAACACATATACCCCACGTCTCCTTGCAAGGCTCAAGGTCACTGGGGCGAAGAGGCAGCTCTAAGAGCCAGCAGTACGGGATGAACATCTGGAAACAGCAGGACAGCTACACACAAGAACCCACAGCAGTCACAACAGTGTGCAAAACCTTGTACGAGCGCAAGCCACCATGGAGAAGAGAGATAAAGATGCAGTCTATCTAGCCGTGGGGCAGCTGGCCATTGTTAGCTGCTGGACAAGGACAGGCCATTTTTCTCTAAGAGTGTAACCTCTGATAAGTCAGCCATGCTCTGGGAGAAGACCACACAGCCAAGAATATTTGGGACAGCATAACTCGTCCCAAAGCTTTTTTATTTTTATTTTTTTAAGACTGTGACACCAAGTAAGGTCGGGCAGGGTGGGTGGATCTGGGCAGAGTTGTGGAGGGCCTATCATCTGACAATATGCACATAATTTGAGACTCTTAAACAACTATTAGAAATGTTTTTGTTTGTTTTTTAAGGATCTGGATCTGGGAGAGAAGGGATGGGGGGGAGACTGAGAGAAGAAGAGGGAGGGGAAACTATGGTCAGGATGTAATATATCAGAGAAGAATCAAGAATAAAAAGAAACTTTAAGCGAGCATGAACTGGGTCCTGAGCTTATGGAAAATGAGCTTTCCTTGTTTTAATTTTGTGCCCAAGAATAGGTGTATGCCACAGATACAGATTTAACATTATTCCTGTGGGGTCTCGGTTTCAGGGTAGCACACTGCTCCTCAACCATGTTCTACATTAGTGGTTCTCAACCTGTGGGTCATGACCCCTTTGGTGGTCATATTTCAGCTATACTGCATATCATATTTTACTTTATGATTCATAGCAGTAGCAAAATTACAGTTATGAGGTAGCAATGAAATAAGTTATTGTTGTGGTTCACCACAACATGAGGAACTGTATTAAAGGGTCTCAGCATTAGGAAGGTTGAGGGCCTCAGCTCTGCATGAGTCTGTGTTAAATAATAAGGCTGCTGTGTTGCTCCAAATGGTAAAGATGGGCTTTGCTTTACATTCCATCCCAAGGCAAGTGGGCCCTAGTGCTACTTGATCACCACACAGGAAAACTTTCCATTCCTATTCTTTGTCCCTCTGGAACCAATCAACACAATTTCTGGCCCAAGAATCAAATGGAAATCTAAAAAAAAAAAAAAAAAACACTTAATGTTGAACGTGATTTGGTGACATGTAGACGTCTGCGAGCAGAAAGATGTAAGCCCCGCCCACTCACAGTGACCTTGATAAGGACATAACACGAACACCCTGATCTTGAGGTGACAGCCTGTGTTGACCACTCACTTCTGCAGAAACAGCTGCCCTACCCCAGCCCAACGTAAGTGCACAGTGAGCCTTTAAGAGCCACTTTTCTGCACTCACCAAACATTACATCAATAAAATCTAAAGTGGCATTGACACCCACTTTAAAATATGACTGTTGATTTCCAGGGTGGTTGTACAAGTTTACATTCCCACCAGCAGTGGAGGAGGGTTCCCCTTTATCCACATCCTCTCCCACATGTGTTTTCACTTGACTTATTCATCTTAGCCATTCTGATGGGTGTAAGGTGAAATCTCAGGGTCATTTTGATTTGCATTTCCCTGATAACTAAGGACCTTGAGCATTTCTTTAAGTGTTTCTCTGCCATTCGATATTCCTCTATTGAGAATTCTCTGTTTAGCTCTGCACTCCATTTTATAATCAGATTACTTGATTTGTTGCTGTTTAGCTTCTTGAGTTCTTTTATATATACTGGATATTAGCCCTCTGTCAGATATAGGGTTGGTGAAGATCTTTTCCCAGTCTGTAGGCAATCGTTTTGTTTTGATGGCAGTGTCCTTTGCTTTACAGAAGCTTTTCAGTTTCATGAGGTCCCATTTATTGATTGTTGCTCTTAGAGCCTGTGCTGTTGGTGTTCTGTTCAGGAAGTTGTCTCATGTGCCAATGAGGTCAAGGCTCTTCCCCACTTTTTCTTCAATCTGGCGCTTTTTCAGACAGTTAGGAGTAGTGCTTCCTCAAGACCCAGCTATACCACTACTAGGCATATGTCCAAAAGACGCTCAAGTATACAACAAGGACATCGGCTCAACTATGTTTGTAGCAGCTTTATTTGTAATAGCCAGAAGCTGGAAACAGCCTAGATGCCCCTCAGTTGAGGAACGGATACAGAAATTGTGGTACATCTACACAATGGAATATTACTCAGCAATAAAAGACAAGGAAATCATGAAATTTGCAGGTAAATGGTGGGAACTGGAAAAGATCATCCTGAGTGAGCTATCCCAGAAGCAGAAAGACACACAGGGTATATACTCACTCATAAGTGGATACTAGACATATAATATAGGATAAACATACTAAAATCTGTACACCTAAGGAAGCTATTCAGGAAGGACGGCTCTGGCTAAGATGCTCAATCTCCATTCAGAAAGGCAAAGAGGATGGACATCAGAGGAGGAAGAAAACAGGGAACAGGACAGGAGCCTCCCACAGAGGGCCTCTGAAAGTCTCTGCCCTGCAGGGTATTGAGGCAGATGCTGAGACTCATAGCCAAACTTTGGGCAGAGTTCAGGGAATCTTATGAAAGAAGTGTGAGATAGTAAGACCTGGAGAGGACAGGAGCTCCACAAGGACAGTGACAGATCCAAAAAGTCTGGGCACAGGGGTCTTTTCTGAAACTGATAGTCCAGCCAAGGACCACTCATGGAGATGGCCTGGAACCCCTGCACAGAGGTAGTCTATGGCAGTTCAGTGTCCAAGTGGGTTCCATAGTAATGGGAACAGGGACTGTCTCTGACATAATCTGATTGGCCTGCTCTTTGATCCCCTCCCCCTGACTAGGGAGCAGCCTTAGCAGGCCACAGAAGAAGACAATGCAGCCACTCCTGATGAGACCTGATAGACTAGGATCAGAGGGAAAAGGAGGAGGAACTCCCCTATCAGTGGACTGGGGGAGGGTCACAGATGGGGAAGAGGGAGGGTGGGATTGGGAGGGGAGGGGAGATGGAGGTACGGGGGGATGAGATACAAAGTGAATAAACTGTAATTAATAAAAATAAAAAATAAATGAAAAAATATGGCTGTTGAGATGGGGATCTTCCAAGAATAACCCCAAGGAATGATCTCTACTTTTCACACTCACCTACTTTGCTAAACTGTGCTGGGGCCTTCATTTCCATCATGGTGGAAGGGCTTCCGGGAAGACATGAGGGATGGCTGAGCACAAATTTGTTGTTTATGAACATGGTCCCTCACCACTGAGCGAGGGGTATTCCAATGGCAGATGTGTTTCAGGTTTGTTCTGTCAAAGGTTCCACACTAGAACAGTTTATCAGTCAGCACAGAGGACAGTGGGGAAGCAAGAGGAAACTCGGGTGTGTCAGCAGACTAGGAAATCTCCAGACTCCACCCAAAGTCTACTGAGTCAGAAACTGTGGTGTGTGTCCTGGGAAATGAGCCACGTAAACTTTTGTGGGTTGGAGACTGTGCTGTGCTGTCGTTTTTATTCCCAGTGCTAAGCACAAATCTTGGGACATAGCAGACAGTACCGATTTGCTAAATTCAATCATTCCACAAATATTTGAGCGATTTCTATGGGCCAGATGTTATCCCAAGCACTTGTATCCAAGAACAAAACGGGCAAAAATTCTGATTTTGGTTGAGTTTGGAAGTGGAAGGGAGAGCAATTAAACTATGACAAGGGCAAACTGTATAGCTGCAGAAGCTGTGAGGGGTGACGGAGGTGGGGGGTCGGGTGGAGTGGGAGCAGTAATGCCACAGCAGTATTAATTCAGGTACCAGAGTAGGTTCTCCTACAGCCTACTGGCTACATAGTACAAACCCCAGGAAGCCCAGGAAGACGCCTACTGGGGGAAAAACATCTGACAACTCTGTGAAAGCCTCTCCCCTGCCTGGGCCAGAGAGGCAGCCAACGTGTGGAGCTATGTCCTCTGGGAGGGAGGTGACCATGGCCCTCTGGAAACTGGTGTACTTGGGATTACCTGCACAAACCCTCAGGAGACCAGCACTGTTAAAGGAAAGAGGAGGCTTATCAACTTAGAGTCCAGCTGCCTCCTCTTGCCCTCCTCTCCCTGGCTGCAAGCAATCCTGCCCAGGAGGTGCACGGTCTGCTTCTAGCAGACATCAGCTGTAGAGGTTTGACTAGGATTGGGCTCCATGGATGTAGCTTCAGGGGGTTGTTGCCCATGCTGGCGCAGGCTAGTGACCGAGTCACCTGTGCTCCTGGACTTAATCTCAAGAGATACACTGATTTACTAAGCTGGGTGGGATGCTTTCTCTGGTCCATTATATGAACCAATGTTTGAGTGAACAGATGGTTGTTTCGATCTCCCCAGGAAAAGGAAGGAAGAAGGTAAAAGCTCCTGGGCTGCTCTTTAAGCCCCAGATCCTTTCCTTTATTTTACATCGTCTTAAGCTCCATGGAACCTCAGAAAAATTCACTCTGTGAATACAAGACAGCTGTCCCCGTACTACGTCTGCACTCTCTTTCACCCCCTCCACCACCAAAGCCCAGTTTTAAAAGGGCTTCGTGATGTATGGAGTTCGGCACTCAGGGTTTTCTATGCTTCCAGCACAAACTCTTCCTCCAGGATAAGCTATTATTCTGCAGTAGACTCGGCCCTTTCTGTGAATGCCGCTCAGTGTGATCAAATTACATAAATTCCTTGCCTTAGAAAAACTTGTGTCAAACAATAAAATAAGCCAAAATACTAGCAAAATGAAAGCAAAACTCCAAACAAAAGTATAAAATAAAATGGCCACAATGAGTCAGATTTTGAGAACATGGTTAACAGGCAGGCAGAAATTATGGACAATGTTTTTCAGCCTAATTTTGCTTCTCCGTGAAATCGTTTTAAACTATTTCAGAACCTATATGTATTTTCAAGTCAGGAGCGGCTGTGAGTTATTACGGTGTATGGTGCTATAATTGCCCTAGAATTATTGAGGGTGCCCTGACCTGTGCTGTAGTCGGAAGAACCACCTTTCAATACGTGGCAGTAGTCCATCAAAGGAGTTCAGCTCTATTGCAAAGGTTTATCTCTGCTTCAGGTTTTGATGATACTGTTAAAAAACAGTTTGGACTATTTTGCAAACATAATCACTTGTGTTTATTTCACTTAAACCACTTACATGACGGTCTTCGCTTTGTTCTCTGTTTGTTTGAGGAATCCTCCGATATTTAAGTAATCATATTTAAATATTTACATAGCCTGCATGCTCCTAAGGAAATTTTTCGAAGGTGCTGGGCCAAAGAAGTATACCAATTAACCCAACTGTAAAACCATCTCTATCCCTATGTGTAAAATTATCACAGACACGTAGCAATAAAACCTGTCATCCCCCATTGTCACAAATTATTAATCTAATATGTTAATATTAAAGTAAATATGTTAAAATGTGAAATATTAATAACACTGAGCTTATACTACTCGTGTATTTGAAGTTTATGCTTTTCAAAAGAGCAATTGTAAGGGAAAACAGTTCCACCAAAACTCCATATTCATAGAAAGAATACATTTTGTTTCTTTTTTGTTTTAGATTTTGGTCACCAACTTAGTAAATTATTTCCTAAGTAAGAGGTAGAAAGAGAGAGAAGACACAGGCAGAGCGAGCAGACACAGGGAGTTTTCACCGTGTAAAGCAGTGAACCATGCCTGGGTTTTCAGCTTCCTGCGCATGTGCCTTGGGAAGCTCTGGCATGATGTTCCAGCCTTTAGCCTTTCAGTGTCTATAAAAGCAGTATGTGGCCAGAGAAGGCTGTTGATAAAAACAATCTTTAAAAATTTTTTTAATTTATTCATTATATATCACAAGTGAAGCCCCCTCCCTTAATTTTTAGATGCTAATTTTTAAGTGACCTTTTAAATGAAACTAATTTATTTAGATCTCATAGACTGTATGTTTCATTGATTTCATAGGAAACAAAGCTTTTGAAGACACAGAGTGGAGGCTGATGGTTTGGATGCAGGGCTATTGGCAGCGGGGATGGGGCGGATGGCTCCTAGGGACACAGACTAATTTTCTTCGTGGGTGTAATCACTGTTGTAAGGTGCACCAGTAAAGAACTCCTTCCGTGTTCATGAAAGCATCTCTGATTAAATTCAGTAGATCAGAAACAAACAGAACAAACAAAGAAACATACATGAGAACAGGAGGGTGATTTATCAAGGAGAAAAATGGATGAGAAAGGGCAAGGAGGATAGAATGACTGAAAGCATATACATGTATGAGATTTTAAAAATAATTTAAAAGACAATGACAATTCTAGAGAGCACTTTCTCTTTTAAGGTCTGCCCTTCCCACCCTTCCAGAAACTCTTACTTTTCTCTCTTTCTCCTTTCTCTCCTTCCTTCCCACAGGAAATTGCCTTTCTCCCTTCTTGCTCCTGTTTCATTTTTCACACTTTCGTCTTTTCTCCTTCTGTCTCTTCCTCCTGGCCTCTCTTCTTTGCATCACGGCTTTGCTCAATCCCCTAAAGGACCGTCCCGCCATCTCTCGCTTTCGTTTGGTTATATGAAAATGCCTCTTGGCAAAGCCTCTCCCTCAAATACACGGGGCCCTTGCACAAATGCCTGGAAAATTAATTCCATGTACATTTTAGGAAATATTGCTCACAGCTGCATTTTTCCATTAGAAATGGTTTCAAAGGCTACAGAAAGAAACCACAGCCAAATGAGGCAAAGTTTAAGCGAGGAAACATGTGTGAAACATTAAACCAAGTGACAGGAACAGGGTTATATTTTCAGAGCAATGGAGAAGTTCTGCAAATGCCCTTCAACTAAAACAAGAGCATTTTTTTTTAAACTTAAAAAGGAATCAGACTGCCAAGGCAGAATTTACAAGAATAAACTTCACATTTAGTTTGAGGGATAATTAAAGCCTAGCTCTGTGATTGGTAATCAGGAGCCATGCACGTGGAAATAACTTGACACATGTGCTGCCAGTGGAGCAGTGTGCTCTACTGGCCACCTCCTTAATTACGATGTCTCTTGTGACTGACATGTACCTCTTTTCCCATTTTGGCAATAATCATTTTCTACTGGCTTTTTTTTAATATGGCATCTATACAGATTTGACACAAGTAATACAAGATTAATAGCAACAAACCATTAAAACTTTACCTATTCTTCTACTGTGATTGAGAAGAAATAAAAAAAAATAGTAGCTATTTTTATAGCATGCAGAATTTCAGAAAATCTGTGTACATAGTCTTGTTTCATAGGGTGGTAGTACTATATTTCTTTGAGAAATAAAAGGGCATGTTCATTACCTAACTAGCACAAAAAGAAAGTGGGACATTGACAGGATTTGGCAGTGGCTGAGACACTGAGTGGTCATTTTGGCTTTATGAGGCAGACCGGCCATTGTAATCACAGATTTTCTAAGTCAAGCAAGAAGGAACTCGAGTGAAATAGTAACTTGATAACCTAGGATTTCTACAAATTAGAGAGAAAACCCTCAGCAGGAGGGGGCAGTAAGGAAAACTGAAAACATAATTTACCCCCTGCCTACCTTGCTTTTCTGCTATGCTACAAAGGTCAGGTATGAAACACAAACTTTGTCTGGATGAACCTTTCCAACCTCCACTTCCCACCAATCAGCTTGGCTTTCGAGACTGGTGAAAGCACAGGTGACTCCTGCTGAGAGTTCCTTCTCAGTTATGTTCTGAAACGCCATGAGCTGGAGGGGTTGAGCCAGGTTCCAGTGTGTGTGTGTGTTTTACATATGTGTATATACAGATATATGTATAATTTATCTTAAAATAAGTTTTAAAATGTTTCTAGAGTGGATCTAAAATTCTTTGTAAAATACAGAACAATTTTTTCTTTGTTTGGTTTTGAGACAGGTTTTCTTTATGTAGTAGCTCTGGCTGTCCTGGAATTCATTCTGTAGATAGGCTGGCCTCAAACTCACAGAGACCCGCCTGCCTCTGCCCAAGTGCTGCTGTTAAAGGCGTGTGCCACCACCACCCAGTTAGAACACTCTAGTGCACAGCCTGTGTATGGACAAAGAGTGCAAGTGCTGACTTCCTTACAGGCTCAGAATGAGCACACGACCCTCAGACATACAGAGTACCACCACTAGATTTTAATGCTGTGTGCAAAATCTATGTGTAATAGGCACTAACAAATAGCTCTTGGCTCTGTTTTGATAAGGTATC